GATGATGAGGATGAGCAGGATGCGGACCTTGCGAGCGGAGGGAAGCGGTGTGCGAGCAGAGAGAGAGATGTGTCGCAGCGAGACGGCTTCGAGGGGAACAAGGCGCGCAGAGAGCCGCTCGCGGCCTCACGCAGCCCAAGGGAGGAGGCTGGAGCGCGTCAAGGCGAGAGGGCACGCACTGGCGTGCCCGCCGCCAGGACGAGGACAGAGGAGCGCGTGTTGCTCTGTGTGGAGTCTGGCATCTGCCGGCAGCGCACGGCTCAACAAACGCTTGCAGACCCTCCTCCTCGCTGTCCTCGAAGAAGGCGAGCACCTGCCAGGGGGGCGGCCGGCCGAGTCGGCGCGCCTGGCCTCACGCGGTCGAGTCGGCGCGCCTGGCCTAGCACTATGGCAGGCGCTCTTGCAGGGCTGCAGAGAGGAGCGGCAGAGGCGGCAGTCGCGGCGGCGCAGCACGCACAAAGGAGAGGACGGCAGCGCCGAGGAGAATCTTGACGAGGAGATCGTCGAACTGCTGCAGGACCAGCTTCCAGAGCGGCGTGCCCTCGTCCTTGTCCAGCTCGTTGGTCCCAAACTCTGCGCGCTTCAGCTCCACCTCTGCGTCGGCGAGGCCCTGCCCCTGGTCAACGCCGTGGCTGGCGAGCACCTGCGGGCGCAGAGGCAGCGTGCGTGTGGGCCGCTGCAGCGGAGGCGCCCAGCAGCGGGACGAGAGCCTGCTCGGTGGGGTAGGCCCACGGCCTCTCCGAAGCCATGATGATGTCTCGACGTGGTGGCAGCGCTGAAACTCTTACGTCGAGGAAGAAAAAGAATTCCGCGGCGCAGACACATGCGCATTTCGGTCGCAGCCGCATCGCAGCCGCAGGGTGCCACCGCGGGTGGCCAGCCCGCCGCGCCTGCGGGCCCGGCCGCCGCCGCGCGCGTGCCGCCGCCGCCCAGCGGCGGCGGAGTGCGCGGCTGCTCCTTCACTGTCCCTAACCCGGGCAGGAAGCGTGGGCAGCAGCAGCGCGGCAAGGGCCGCGGTGCCAGGGGCCGTGCCGATGCTGGACCCCGTCTCGTTGACAAGAACGCGCTGTCCGCGCGCGGCAGCGGGCCCTCGCGCCAGTCGCGCTCGCCGTCGCCCGACTCTCCGCCCGCCAAGCGGGCCGCCTCCGCTGACTCGTCCGGCTATGAAACCGATACGCCGGACGAGGTGCAGCAGGAGGCGGTCCGCAGGGTATGCGGCGCGCTCGGCATGAGGGAGCAGTTCGAGGCGGCGATGGCGGCGGGCGAGCTGCTCGAGATGCTCGAGAGCTTGCCGCGAGGGGCGGTCGAGGCCTCTGTCCGACAGATGCGGGGTTACAACCGCACGGGCGAGTGCCAGAGCCCATTCTCA